GAGGGAGGGAACCGGGGCCCGCTGAGAGGCAACAGGTCCGGCTGCGGGGATGCTGAGAAACTCGAGGAAAAAAGGGAAGGGGGTGCAAAGGGAGGGAGGCACGACGGGGTTCCCTTCTTCACATCTGGGTTCCCTTCTTCCTGGGTTCCGTGGGGTCTTGCCAGTGTGAGAAACACCGACTCACATCTTAGAATTTAAAGAGGTCAAAGTCACCAAAGCAAAGGTTAAAAAAATAATTTATTAATACGAAACAGCGCCGAATCGGGTGCACCAAAAATAGATGCACGATGATTTTTTAGTTTTCAGGTATTTCATACCTTTATCCTGGCCGCTTGAGTTTCTGTCTCCCTTCTCATTGGCTGAGAAGTTGGAGCTCACATTCTTCCTGACCGCTTGACCTATTACAGGTTTATTTTGTACTTTTTCCCATATAAGGCACACATACACCTATTCTACGAAATCATTATCCTAAACACGCCTTTGATTAGTTGATTATGCTACACGTTATTTCAGAGTCTTTGCTACCATCTACTTGGCAGATTTACCAGACTGGTTTCTTTGGCCTTATTGATACTCCCCTACCCTTTGGGTTTTTGTGTTGAAGGCCATGTTCCAGTTTGTTTCTCTTCACCTAGATAACGCTCTGCAAACAAGGATCCCTTGACAGACCAAGGGCATTTCTGGGGATTAACTGGATACAATTTATTAGACTCTACTATTACTAAGGCTTCTTTGTTAGTACTATCACACTAAAAATGATACATCAATTAGCTGAAGCAAAACTTAGCTTATTTCCCACACCAGGAGACCTGGAGCTGCCGGACTGGATTTGTGCCCGTGGGGAGCAAGTGAAAAAGGTTTGCTGGCCCGCATCCCAAGGGTGTGGGGATACCCCTACCCAGAGGGGATGCAGAAGGGTCTGGGCCCTGCGTAGATCTTCAAGGAGGGACCGGAGGGAGGTGAGAATCAAAGGTGCACGTCCCAGGGGAGGGACAGGGAGAGTCACCCACATCCAGCACATGAGATAGTAGAGATTAAACTGATCATGTGTCTCGGCAGCAAGAGGGACAGAGGGTGAATTAAGGACTGAGAGACAGCAGTTGTGTTGGAATAAGAGTATCCAGTGATAAGGCATAGAGAAAAAAAAAAGGGAGGGAAGGTGAAGTTGCTGTGGCACCCCCTCCAAAAACAAGGATGGAGAACCTGTGGCGGGTCTGCTGAGAAACAGGCTGAAAGAACAGTTAGGGAAGCACGCAGAAGTCATTGGACCAAGCAAAGACAAGATGTCAAGAAGACTATTGTTGAAAGAGGTTGACAGATTAAGCAGGATTTGATTTCGGTAGGAGGAATTCTTTAGGCACTTCAGTGGCAGCGGTGACAACTGAGCCCGAAGATCTGCAGGCAGACTGCAGAGCCCCAGACACGGGCTGGGAACAGTCGTGTTCATGGAGCCTGCGTGTGAAAGGGAGGAAGGGTATGGGACAGCAATCTGAAACAAACCGGGTCGAGAAGCAGGTCCTTCCTTCTCCACATGGAGAGATTAGAGAATTATTGCGCTGCAAAAGCAGTAGCCAGATTAAAAGGTTAAAGAGAAAGAAGGAAAAGTGAACACGTGCGAAAGGGGGATAGTGTGACGTGAAGGGGAATATGCTTATTTAGCACAGAGGGGAGAACAAAAGTACCTGGAAGAGAGCACCTGCATTCATGCTGAATATAAGAGACTCACTGCTGCCTGCTAGATATTCATATGGGGAGTTGGGCAGAGCCAACTGCATGTGGTCACCCACTGGGGCATTTTGGGGTGAAATACAGGTGGGTAAGGGGAAGTAAAAACAAAGTGGAATACTTTGAGCAACATAGTCTAGTGAAGCTGTTCCTTTCCATCCCAGGGAGATTGGAATTAAATAATCTTTAAGGTCTCTTCCAACCCAAACCGTTCTATGATAGGACCTTGCAGCACTTGCAGAAGGGGAACACAAGCAAAGGAGGTGGAAAAGATGAGGTAAGAAAATGTTTCCCAAAGGAAATGGTTTGAATTCTGTGCACAGAATGAGGACAGCAGGCTTCATGCATAGGTTCCCATTGTGTCGGGGAAAATGGGATAGAAATGCGAGTCGTGTGTTAGCAAAGCAGATTCATGACAGAAATCAGCCAGGTCCCCAGCTTTCCTCCAGAAGCACTCAACAACGCAAAAGCAGAGCCAAAGAAAGCCAATGTTGAAGTTGAATCATGTCTGGGGTTTGGTAAGGAGAGAAAACGAAGGGTCAAGGGCAAAGAAGAAACATACATGAAAAGCATCAGCAATCGGAGGCATGAAAGAAAGGAGAAAGCAGAAAGGGCAGGCCAAAAGCAAATAATAAAGCATGGTGAAGAATACTATGGGAAGGCTGAAGAATTTGTGGGGAGAAATAAAACCTAGATGATAGTCAGAAAATGAAGATGGAGTAACAAAAAAAATCAGCAAGACAGTAGGACTTGATGAAAGGCTAGGTCTTTCTAGACTGAAGAAAGGCTGTGATTGGGTCAACAAAGGCTTCAGTCAAATGAGAGGATAAAGATAAAGAATGTGCAATGTAGCTGGGAAATCAGCTGGGAAACAATGCCAATGGGGATGAGTGTGGGAGGCTGTGCAGGAATGGAGAAAGAGTGAAGAAGCGAAATGGAGAGAGAGTCCCAAGAGGTGAAATAAAGAAAGCTGCTGAGGAGGGGTTGAGTGAGGGGTGGATATCACTGCCATGAAGGCAAGGGGAGAACTGAATGTGCCGCTTCCCACCCTTTCACTGATGGGGGGAGTTTGCCTACTTTGATCTCTGACTTCAGGCTCTCAGTCTTTCACAAGATGGCTAGCGGGTCATTCCTATTTGTGCAAGGAAGCTACTGTATTCACTCTTTGTTTGTCTATGTGTATGATCCAGGGTCAAATTAAAACTACAAATTAATTTCTTAAAATGCAATTTCATGTGAATAGGCATTTAATACCACCAGTACCCAGATGCTCTACATCACACAGTTTATGGTCCTTACAGCAATATATGCGATAAATGGTGAGTAACTGTGGTCGTTATTTTACTACAGATAAAATATAACGTAAATTATACTTCAAAAGATAATTTCCTGAAGTAGCGTATTCTACCCATACCTTGCCGAAAATGGAAAACGCATAAAACTTCGGCTCATATATAGATAGATACACTGCTTCAAAGAGACAATCTGCAAATGCCTGTCACGGCGGCCATATGGAGGGGCTGGCAGAAGGGCAGCTAGTGAACCAGTCATACGTGCCAGGTTCAATTTGTCACACTTTACAGTACTGAGAAATATTTTGTTCTCGTTTTGAGAAGGAGAACTCTCATTAGTAAAGATCCGACAGCGTGCTCTTCAAAAGGCATCTTTTACGGGCAGGGAGAAGAGCCAGCAGGCCTGTCTTTGGAACCGCCGGTACGGTGGTGTATCTGCACGTGGTAAACACAGGGGACTGGCTCAGAACGTGTTGAACAGAGGAACCAACCCTCATTCTAACATGAAGACATTAAAACACGTCTTGGCCGTGGGTCCTGGGGGCGGGATGACCGGCAACCTTCATGCCCAAAGCGCAAGGGACCCAGGGATGCGGTTGTTGCCCCGGGACGGCAGCTCCGGGGGCGGTGAGGGGACGGCGGGAGGGCTGGCCGGAGCTAAACTCACCTTTTCTCCTCAGGGTTTGGAATTCCTCTGGACTCACACGGGGAAAGAGAAAAAAAGAGAAGAAAAAAAAAGATTGTTTTCAAGCCAGCCAGACTCCCGCCGCCTTACTTCCTCAGCCCCACGGCCGCACCCAGGCCTCCGAGCCGCCGCCTCTGAGGAGGAGGCGGCGCCGCCCGGTCCCGTCTCCGCCCCCGGCGGCGGGGCGGGCGGCAGGGAGAGCCGGGGAGGCCGCCATCTTCCTTGGAGGGCTGATGGGGGCCGGGGGCTGGGGCTGGAGGCGGGCGGTCCGGGCCCTGTGGGCGGCCGGCAGCGGCGGCTGGTGGCGGGCGGCAGCGCCCGGTGAGGCGGGGACTGCGGGGGGCGGAGTGGCGGCTGGGCCTCTCCGAAGGCGGGCGGTGGACTGCGGTTTGCCGGCGCCCGAGGGCCCAGCCCCGTGTTATGTTTGACGTTCTTGGAGGCGATGGCTGTCTCTGGGGGTCCGGGGGAGCGGGGAGCCGGCTGTGGGCTCACGGGGTGCTCCTCTCTGGCAGGTCCCGGGCCGGCGGGGGCCGCCAGCCGCTGCCTCTGCACCGGCGAGACGCCCGGCCTTTCCTACCAGGAGCTCAAGGAGTTGAAGAAGACCAATGTCCTCCACATAGACGTGCGGGAGAGGTGGGAGATCGAGAAGGCCGGAAAAATCCCAGCGTCCATCAACATACCTCGTAAGTGGAGGCCTTGGGTGTCCCCCTGCGCTTGAAGGCCATGTCTGTGGGCAAAAGTGGCCGTGACCGAGCGAAGAGGAGCTGTGCTGGACGGCTGCTGGTGTGCTGTGAGGCTAAATTCTCCTCCGGAGGAATTAGAAGCCTTACAGCACAAGCCTCTCTGTGGATGGAGAATAAATGAGAATTTTTTTCTTTCTTTTTTTCACCGTATTTCCCAGTGGGTGAATTAGTAGAAGCTCTGCAAATGGACCCAACGGAGTTCAAGGAGCAGTACAATCAGAAGATGCCGGCCAAGTCGGACCCTGTGGTTTTCTCCTGCTTTTCAGGGAAGAGAAGTAAACAAGCACTGGCTTTTGCCACATCCTTGGGTTTCAGCAGGTAAGCATCTGTGTGTAAGGATGGCCTCCCCCTGTAAAGCAGAAGTCTTACTCACTTCTTATGGGCCAGGGTAAAAAATTTAAAAGTGGAATGTGAACAAAGCGACTGGTATTTGAGTTAGACACCTCCACTGAACCTTGAAAGATGCTGTTGGGTGTTCCAGCAAAGTGAGGTGTATCATCCTGTGAAACAACCCCTCAGCAGTGCTGCACAGGCGATGCGATCTGCTGCAAGACCCTGCTGCCACTGAAGGGTCCTTCAGCCCCTTGGGGCTCCCTCACCAAGACATTGCTTCCTTATACAGCTTCACAGGCGCTAATCACGAGACATAAGATAATTGGAAAGGAAAAGAACCTCTCACTTTGGTGAAAGTACAATCTGAAATTGGTTTATGAGACCACACCCTTTGTTAAATTGCAGTTCCACCTGCAACAGTTCACTGTTGACAAAGTACGCCTTCACTTTCAGTAAGGCAAATGGATTGTTTGCCATGAGTAAAGCAGTGAAAGCAATAGCTAAAAAGACAGTAAGATTGATGGATTGACAGCAAAAGCAGCATTTGGTTGGTAAAGTTCTTACGCCTATGCCAGAACGTACCTTGCTGTCTTGAAGACCGCACATAGAATTTTAAAAATTGGTTGTTTGTTCATGTTTTGGCGACCTGCGTTTCATGAACTGGAATAACCCTGTGAATTCTAGTCAAAAGCATGGAAGAACGTTCCTGTTTTATAAATACATTTTTCTAATAAGTGCAAAATATCCTCCATTACCTGTTTTTCCTGCTGCCTAATTGAAGGAGTCAGTATTGTTTTGCATGGTGGGTTTTTGTTTTCCAGAGTTTAGTTTTGTACAGGCTTATGTCAGATCTAAAGAGCACATAGGTTTTCAAGGAAGCAAAGATCAGCGTGCAGCACCTGTTTTATAACATCTGAAGTATTAGATATAATAACATGTAAATCTCCCACCACAGTGAGTCTGTTCTGTCTTTTAAAAAAAAAAAAAAAAGTAGCAGCAAACTTCTTAGTGATCCAGCTGCTACTACTTGCTTGATGTTTGATCTCCAACATTGTGTCTTTTGGAAGAAAAGAGTTACAGAACACACTGCATGGAAGCAGGCAGCATTAGAATGCAAAGAATGTTGATCTGGCTAGAAGCTAGGTACAAGTGTATTTGATTGCAGAGAATTTACGTAGGATTTTTTTTTCTCTGATTTTTCTCAGTTTAGTGCTGTTTCATTTAGTTTTTGCCATGCCCTCTTAGGTACCTTTTTCAAGAAGAGTCCTTAACATTGTATCTTCTGTGTATTTTCAGAGCTCAGCAATATGCTGGTGGCTTTGAGGATTGGGTAAAACATGAAGCTCCAGAGAAAAAATGAAGAGGACTGCCCCAACCCTTGCCCCATCAAGGCTTCAGGATGGTTTGCAGGTTTTAGCATTCAACCTGCATGCATTCCACTTCCAGAATACAGCCTGCTCTTGCTTTCTTGTGTAAATGGACAATCACTTCTCAATAGCCACGCATATCAACTGGTGGGTTCAACTTCTATCTGAAGACTATGACATGAATAGAGAAGGACAATAAATTTGTTCAAGCTTTACTTGGGGCTATGGTTTCTCGGTGAAGGTATGTGAAGAGAACCTAAGTGCTGATCATGTTTACTAAGATTTTTGTGTGATTTAGTTTATGACTGCTTCAACTAATGATGACAGGACAAATAAAATTACCCTTTCCTAAATAACTGTGTTGGGTGGTTTGTTTAGAATAGTTACGCTGCAGATTACCCTAATGGAATTGGGGTAACTGCCCTAAGCACAGATTTCTTGTACTTCATCTGTAGCCAGCGTTTTAAAATAGTTGCTATGTTATCAAAAAGTACATGTAGAATACAAATTTTTATGTTTGTACTATGTGATTGTAAGGCCAAAACTTCACTACTGGTCAGAAAATACAAAGGGAGACTGACCTGATGCTAGAATACTCCCTGTTCAAATTGAGATTCCTTATTTTAAAAGTATATCCATTTTTATACACAGACCTGCTGCTGAGCACAAAATGCTATAGCATTCAGTCATCAACTTCTCCCTCAGCAGCTCCGTATCAAGCGAGAACTTGCCTATATTTGAAGTTTTTATTACAGAGATGTAATCATTTTAGGCTGGAAAATTTGAGGTGTCCAAGGAAGTTACTAAACTCCCTTCTTTTATGTACGTTAATTTGTGTCTTAAACTTTAAAAACAAACTGAGCCATCCCGTCCCCACCTACAAATTTGCATAGTCATTATTTTAAGGATTCTTTTTGTTTGTTTTTTAATATCATTAGCAGTTCAGGGGAACTAGCAAAGGTGAGTTGCTTTGGCCTCTAGAAAATTTTAAGTCCTAGCACAGAAGTTCAGGACTCTGCAGGTGTGAAGTAAAGTCTGCAAAGGCTCTTGAGCAGCAAGAAAACTTTCAGTCACTCCAGCCAGAATTCTTCATTAATCGTGTGAAATCCCTAATTTCAAAACATTAGCTTTCTTAGCAGATTTGTGGTACATGCAAGAAGACTGATGTTTACCTAAAGAATGGTTTCTGTTTAAGAACTACACACAGTGGTCAAGTTGCATTGATTTATTTCTAGTCCCCAAGTCCATGTTACAAATAGCACATTTTAGACTTCAAGAAACAAAGGTAAATAGCCAAATGCCACTTTATCAATCAAGTGTCTATAAAAGGTATGGATCAAATGGCAACAAAAGTAGTAAAGACCAAACTGTATATATTTTCTATCTCACCAAAGTGGTTTGGGCTTGTTTACCTAACGTTTTACAAAAAGAACCTGGACAGAAATAAATGCTAGTAGCCTAATGGGCTACATACACTTCAGTTGTATTTCACCAGCCAATTACAAAGACAGGGATTTGCAAAACCAGGGTTGGTTTTTTTTTTAAGGGGCCAATTTTTTTTAACCAAGACTCATCATACAGCAAGGGCTTTCAAGAATTTCCCTCTACTATTTCAGACCAGCAAAATGTGTTGCTTCAGGAAAAAAAAAATAAAATTGAGAACAATGTCACTGCACTTTATTTTATCATTCAATTCTTGGGCAAGTCAGCATTATCATTCAAAATGAAGTTGTACAGAACTCAATTAAAAACAAAGTTATCTAAAAATCAAGAAATTCAATTTAGGCCAATTCCTGACTTCAGTGGGATATCTGCCTGAGTAAGGAACACAGGATATGGCCTTCTCTTTGAAGGAATCTCATTTTCTCCAGCACATAGTTAACCAAGGAATCCCATTTCAATTATTCTAAGGAGTTACTCCTAACATCACAATTAAAATTAGCCAGAATGTAGCTCACCAAAAGCTTGATCCTCTTAAATAAACTCTCTAATGAACCACACAAATTCACACGAAAACAGTGAAGGCAGACTAACAGTGTATCTCTTTTGTACAAAAAAAATCCACCATAAAAAATAGCAATCGTATCCAGATTCGTACTTGATTGTGAAATATTCCAATTGTACTATAGAGTACATTTACTTCCAAAAAAAAATCATAGTATGTTGGGTTTTTTTTCATTCCTAACACTTGAAATGTTTAACAAAACTGCAGAGTCACTATACATATTGCACTTCTCTGGTAAGCTGGGCTACTACGCTTCATGGCAAAAACATCCAAGTACACCTACTGAGTAAAACAGCGTTTTTCTAATCCAAAAAAAAGGAACTGAATTTCTTTCTTGCAGCTTTCATTAAAACTGTAACAATATTCTTTGCAGGCTCTTCTGAGGCTTTGTTTCTGAGGGGTTTCTGTGTTGTTACAGGATTCATATTTTTAAAAAAAAAATCAGTAAAACTCAAGATAATGAACAGATTTAACACACAGTGCACTATCTTCCTTCAGTCACAAACAAAATGAAGACAACACAAGTCATTAATGCAGTTACACTTAGGCTTCAGGTTACTTTCGCTTTAAAAATAGTTCACTCCAATGGCAAGTTACAATTTTTTCAAAGCAAACAAAACCAATAATGAACTATTTGTTTTGAGTGGATAGTGTTAATCTTTTGCAGCTTGGTTTAACGTTTGATTCCTTACACTGAAAAATCTTAGTACATTTGCTCCAGCGTCAGAGAAAATGATGCAGTTTTAGAGGAAAAAGCTTTCAAAGTGCTTGACACAAACAAGCTATTTAGTCTTCAAGTTCTTTGTCAAAGATGTTACTAAAACCTTCTGTCCATTTCATGAACACAGGAAAGATCCCAGGATGTCTTGAGTCGAAGTGGTCCGTAAAGAGGTTCTTTGGAATGTTTTAAGATTGGCTATAACTAGAGTTCTGGCTACCATTTGGACCCTGTTCTCCTTCACTGTTTGGAAGAGAAAAAAAAAATAAACAAACAACCAAAAACATATCTTCAAAAAGAAGCATCATATTACATTTTTGCCTTTTTTTTTCTAATTAAAAAATACAGTACTCTGAAAGTAGTAAAAACCTTTTGAAGGAAAATACTTCAACATATACCCAAATAGGCTAAGATATTCTGCTCACTTTCATTAAAAATGCAAATGCAAAGATTATTCTCAGCATGCATAAGTAACTTCAGTGTATTTATTTGAATAATAATTTCAATATATCCCCGTGCAGCTGCCTGCTGAATCTACTTCTGAAGTCAGCATTTCAAAGTTCACATTACACAAGCACGTGCACAGGAATTTGCATGCGCAGATTCCCATCAGTGATATTTAATCACAGTAATTAAATACGACATCAAGCAGGCCTACTTCCAAGGAATCTGGCCTTGCTAAGTGGTATCGATCACCTTCTCATTACATTAACGCTCTCCATAAAACCACAAAGATTCTGCTTCTCACTAGCTCCTGAACAATCAGACTGGCTGTTTGCAATAGAAAGCTCTGCACTGTAAAACACATGCTGTACCTCAAATTAAACATTTACTCATTCTTAAGATAGCAGTCCAGTTTTTCCATATGAAAGGCATACTAAGGAAGTACAGTACCTGTTCGGAGGTGGTTTTGGTTTAGGCATTTTACTAAGAATAGTAGCCATCTCTTTCCTCTCATCAAAGTTCTTCCACTGCTCATACAGCTTCAGAATAACCCTGATTATTTCTAAAATCTGATTAGAAAGAAAATAGGTCCTAAGGTCAGACACAACAGTGATTTTGTCTCTGTCACAGTCAGTTTAAATGTGTAATTAATTAAACATGCCCCAAACTGAAATTAAGTAGCACAATTTTCATAATATAAACAGAGCTATCTCACATTTAATCTGGTCTGGCAATCAACCATTTCTATAATTAGGGGTTTTTTTATTTAATTGTGAATGGAAGCCTGAACAGTATACTTTCCCCCTCATTCAACTGCATATACCACTTCGCCACCCCCGCAAGCTGAATTTGTTTACTTGTAAAAACTATCACAGGTTATAACTATGCTATTGGGAAAATACAGACACCTGGCAGCGGGGCTGCAGCTGATAATCATCAGTTACTGCATTGGTTATCAAAGTTCAATACACATCAGAGGCACAGCGCAGGGCAAAAAAGCCCCAAACCACAAAACAATGGTCTGAATTCCCTCCTTCCAAGAAACAAAGAGCCAAGGAGTATCTAAATTCTTTTCTTATTATAGTCGTATTATTATTATCATATTATATATTCATATATGCATATAATAATAATTGTTGATCTTTCATATCCCACTTTTGGAAGCATAACCATTCTCTACCAGTTTGGGTATCTTCTACCTAAATACCCTATTAAATTTCTAGTGCAATATTCTATATAAAAGGTGGATAATGTTTGGTTCATAATTTGTTTCATCATTCTCTAAATCAATAAAGTAGACGTCTTCCTTCTTTTTAATACCCGGACTTTGATTAAATGCTAGAACAATATATGTCCTTAAAACAAAAGTCATAGTTGGCTAAGAGGTCCGTGATGTTAATGTAAAAAAATCGAGTTTAGATTTTATCACTGGCATGAGAACCAGGACATTCAAACATGTTCAGTATCAAGCTTATGGTAACCTTATCTGTCAAACATAGGTTGGTTCTCCTCTGCTGCCAATTTATTATCACCCTGCTTTTACATGCATGACAGCATAATTCAGAGCTCTTGAGGCAGCATAGCATCCACACTGTGCTTAAATTTGAAGACAAATCCTGGAATAAATACAATGCCAGGATATCATCAGTGGGATAAAGGGCAATAGAGAGGGCAATGGTATGTCTCATCCATAATATGGTATTTAATTCCAGACACTCAGTTTCAAAAAGAGACAGAAAAATACGTGCAGAGTGAAACAGCGTGATAAGGACTTTGTGTACTACTTTGGTTTGCTTGCTAGAGTTAAACAAAGGTTAAAGAAGGCAACCTACAAAGTAAAAAGAACTAGTGAAGGTGAAGAACATGATCAGTATGAGAACAACTGCACCCTGGAACCTGATAAATTTATGAAGGGGATTATTTCACATAGAGTTTGCAATAGCAGGAAACTCAGAACTGAATGATCTTGGGGTCCCCCTGTTTAACACTGACTGAAGTCACAGCTCTGGTCATCCTGAAGGTGCTGGGAACATTTGACACTCTGCTATACTATGTACATTTATAGGACAGCATGGAGGTACGATGCTGAAAGGGGAATCAGAAAGTCACATGCCCTAGAATTTAAAAGTCTATCTTGAATGATGAAAAACACTGGGAAATCTTTTTCTAGCAAAAAATGCAAAGGT